GTGGAGCCTGACATGGGGCTTGATCTCACAACCCTGAGATCATGACCTGAGTTGAAATCAAGAGTCAGACACTTAACCAACTGGGCGACCCAGGTGCCCTTTCTTCATGCATTCTTTTTTTTTTTTTTTTAAGATTTATTTATTTATTTGAGAGAGAGAGAAAGAGTGCAAGCGGGAGGAGGAGCAGAGAGAGAGGGACAGAGTCCTCAAGCAGACTCCCTGCTGAGCGGGGAGCCCTTTGTGGAGCTCTATCCCAGGATCCTGAGATCATGACCTGACCTGAAATCAAGAGTCAGCCACTCAGCCGACTGAGCTACCCAAGCATCCCTTCTTCATGCATTCTTAACAGCAACTTACTCTTTATAAACAGGAGGTGGTTTAGGATATGATTACCACAGTTGACTCTAGATTTGGCTGAGAGGTTAAATCCTAGCTCTGTCACCTAGTTATTTGATCATGGACATAGCACTGAGCCTTATTAGGCTCAGTTTCTTTTCTTGCAAAATGAGGCTAAAAACAACCTCAATATACTGTTTTGAGGATTAAATAAGATAATAGGGCACAGAGTTAAATCTCAATGAATATTTATTATTATATTACAAAGAACTTTATAATTTTCAAAGCCTTTCATGGGCTATGACCTCATTTGATTTTTCCCAAGAATTCTTCAAAGTGGGACTGGGTTTGTATTAGCCTTATTAGAGCCGGGAAAAAAGAATTTGTAGATTAATACAGACAATCCTGTACCTGGACCAGAACAAGTCAGGTGTTGCAAATGTATACAGAATATTTGCCTCCACTGAATACCCATCAGTAAATAGATGTATTTATTGGGAATGCTCTATTTCCACATTACCCCTTAAATTGAAAGCTTAAATCTCCCCTACTGTGCAGTAAATTATTGAGATTTGTTATCGGATGAGTTTCTGTCAATGCATTCTGTACCTTTACCACTTTTTGTAATTTCTCCTGCAGTATCTAGTCAGAGATGACCTGATTGAATTACAGTGAATACGGTGAGAATTAAAACTTAAGCAGCACAGGGAAAGACACACTTCAAAGTCTCATCACCTCATAGCAATCCTGGCATATCAACTAAGGCATGCATCATGCAAAACATTTACTTACACATTGAAGATTTTTAAAAATCTAGGCACATAGTCATCTCATTACTTGTTTTCTTTCATCATTTCAACACTTGGCTGAAGTGTTGGGCAGCAGGTGTTAATTCTTATGTTTGCACCTGCAACTATACCCATGGTGGATTTTAAGTCTTACAATTGAGATTCTGTCAGGCAGTGTTCTTTAGCCTGGGCATCATTGTTGGAAGTGTCAGCTCTCTGAAAGCAAAGAGTGCTTAGAACCACCCGGGACAGCAACTTTAATGTTCAAATATCAGCAGTTTTGTGTTTTTTGAAAAGGGTACTCATAGAACATTCATGGGCATAGGACATCAGGTAAGCATTCCCTCCGTGAATATCAAAGGTTTTGTGTTAGAACAACCGAACAAATGTTCTAAATAACCAACAAACTAGGAAATCAGGTTGGAAAGCACATTACAGAAATTGATAAAACTAATTAACAATATTAAAGATTGTTCAGAGTTTATGGGGAGTTAAATATATGGCTGATAAATATGGTATATTATATGGTGGAACATAGATATTAGCTAGGAATAGTATTGAGGAATTAAATATTCTATTCCTATGCCTGTAGTCCTACACACAGATAGTTATTCTTAGACTTTAGCATTACTCAAAGTCTAAAGGACAGCCAGATTTCTTTTTTTTTTAAATTTTTTATTGTTATGTTAATCACCATACATTACATCATTAGTTTTTGATGTAGTGTTCCATGATTCATTGCTTGTGCATAACACCCAGTGCTCCATGCAGAACGTGCCCTCTTTAATACCCATCACCAGGCTAACCCATCCTCCCACCCTCCTCCCCTCTAGAACCCTCAGTTTGTTTTTCAGGGTCCATCGTCTCTCATGGTTCGTCTCCCCCTCTGAATCCCCCCCTTCATTCTTCTCCTCCTGCTATCTTCTTCTTCTTTCTTTTTTCTTAACATATAATGTATTATTTGTTTCAGAGGTACAGATCTGTGATTCAATAGTCTTGCACAATTCACAGCACTCACCATAGCACATACCCTCCCCAATGTCTATCACCCAGGCACCCCATCCCTCCCATCCCGCCCACTTCAGCAACCCTCAGTTTGTTTCCTGAGATTAAGAATTCCTCATATCATTGAGGTCATATGATACGTGTCTTTCTCTGACTGACTTATTTCACTCAGCATAACACCTTCCAGTTCCATCCACGTCGTTGCAAATGGCAAGATCTCATTCCTTTTGATGAGGACAGCCGGAATTCTAATCTTATATGATTTATGAAAGAAAGTTTAAAATCCAATTAAGTTTTGTTCTTTATCGAGTTTTCAGAAAGTTAATGAACACATATAACAGCTCTATTAATTTCTTTAGAGTTCATTTTCTCTGCTTGAAAAAAGTTTGTAACTTATATGAGGTAATATATCTAGAAACATCATTAAGTGATTAAAAGCATCATAATATGAAATGTTTTAATGTACATTTTAATTATCCTTGTTACCTACTGGGATGAAATTAAATTTTATATAGTTCTCAAGTTGTACCACATTCGTTGGCTATAATACCTATAAATGTGCACTGATTTCATATTGATGAATGCAAATCATTGAAGGCATTTAAAATTCCTTTACAAAAATATGTTAGTTTCAATCTTGTTCTTTTCATTTTCTATTAGGAGTAGGCTCTCTGAATGAAACATAAAGGTTAAATTCCTCCTGTTTCTTCTAGATTCATTTAATTGCTACTTTTTGGTTTGCATCCTTATCAGGATCCATCCATCGTTTTGTAATGAACTAGTGAAGATGGAGCACACCTCATCACTGCAGAGACGTTCTAAGAGTATTTTTTCTTTTGCGTAGTTGTGCTTGCTACCTTAGCCATATTGGCATTAATTCAACATATAGATGAAAGGATAAACCAGTTTTTCAGGATTTAAAAGAGCATCATCACTTCTCTGCTGTGAACAACTAATCAGTTTAATTTTAAATGATATTTTGTCTTTTCTTGGAGTTTTCTTACTGCCAAAGTAAATAAATGAATAAATAAATTTACTTATTCATTCATTCATTCAGTCAGTCATTTTGTATTTCTTCAGGGAAGAAAATTAATGCCTATATTCATTAGTGGGATATTTCCTTTTCTTCTTAAGAAGGCACATTTTTCTCCCCCAGATACTTGTAATCCTAGATGCAAAGAGGTAATATTGTCTTATAAATCACAATAAATACAGAGGAATAGCTTTGACACTGATTCACACCTCTACCCTTAGGATAAAGTGGAGAGTCAAATAATACAGATGATTGGAATTATTGTCATGGCCGTAATCACGTTCATTGTATAATGTAGTCAGTGTGCATCTATAAAGATATATTAACTAGAATTGCTGGAGTTGAAAAATTTGGTTTCCTCTTAATGAATTATATGCAGTCTTTTAGGTAGAAAACCATTCATTAGAAGATCTGACATGCATTTCTCCTCCTAAGTGGATATTCATTAAGAATAGTTCCTAACCAATATTAGATTCTCTGACCAGCTTTTTTCAAATATGACTTTAGGTACCTACACACTCAAGATAAAATATTTCAAAATCCACTCCTACTTTGGAACATAAAATTTCATGTTTAACCAGAATGCTACAAAAATTATGGATGTATTCATTTAATGTCACCACATATATCTAAGGATGGTCCAATGCAGTATTTATGTCAGAAGTATTTTTTAAAATCCGTGATTATACTAAATTACTCAATGAAATGTTTATTTATAGGTCAGCTTTGTCTTTGCAATTAAATAGTATTAAGTTAGCAAAATTTAGATTTACTATGTACAGAACTTTTGGCTTAAGAGAGAAGATCACCTAATAGGCCCTTTCGCCTGTTAGTTTTCCATATAAGGCAGAGTTCATTAGATAAAGATTTTCAAAATGTCATTCAGACCAATCCAGCCCCAGTGAAGGAGGAGAAGGTGCATGTTTGAGTGATCACATCACTGAGAGGTAATAGGCACATCCACTGCATCATTTTACCATAAGCAGGTAATCTTTTGGCAGTTGAGAACTTTGATCACAGCAAAGTGTTGACACAAAAATCAATCACATTCTCCTTAGTTTAAGATCAATATACAAGGGCTCAAAGACATAAGTTAAAAGCCATATAACCAAGTTTTATCGTATTTGGGGGATTAGTTTCATTTAGAAGCAGCTCACACATTCTAAATTAAATACTGTATATAAATAAACAAGATGACAGTTAGAGTCACTGAAACACTTGAGTGCATAATTGTCTTCACTGAGATCTAATTTAGTGTTGTATCAAATTTTATTAAGCAAAGCTGAAGGGGGAATTAACTTGAATTGCAAAAAATCTTCTCTTTTTCAGATGAAATAAAGCTGCTGTCAAATAAATACAGCCAGGACAACTGGGTCATCAGCTGTTTTTAAACTTTTGGAAACAAGTAGGGGCGGAAAATTTCATTTTGATGTAGCATTAAGGTAAGGGATCCAGTTTCCACAGAGATTTTGTTTCAAACGAAACAAGATGAAACAAAACGAAACAAAATAATACACTGGTTTAACTAGTGGTAAAACACCTTTGCACTTACACACTTTGTCCCTAAATTGCACTCTGACCATTTAGGGGAAAAAAGAAAACCAGAGAACAAAAAATGAGAGCAAATACAGGTTTCACAGACACTATCATATTCGTAGGAATGAAATTATATGCTAGAGTTTATTTATTTTTTAATCAGGATTCTTTTCTCCCCCAATCTACCAGTCCATGTAGTAACGCTGTCTCTCTCAATGAAAAATATACCCCTTTGCAAGTTCCTAGAGTTTCCTACTGTTGAAAGATGTTTCAGTGACCAAACAGTTCACCTCTTTAGTTACCTTAATGGCAGAGAGGTCAATTTTTTCTTCTTTGGGTTTGGCTGGGGCAGGTGCAGGTGCCGGGGCTGGGGCTGGGGCGGCAGCAGCAGCAGCAGGTTTCTTCACATCCTTCTTTGGTGCCATTTTGTTAAAAACAATGAGTTAAAAAAAAAGAAAGAAAGAAAGAAAGCACCTGCAAAAGAACGTGTCAAAATGATTCTTGGAAGAGGAGTGGTGCTTCAGTTGATCCACAGCCCAGTGTTTTGAAGGTGGACCCAGAGTGTTAAATGGTATAAGGGCATGCATATATATTTCACTTAGTGCCTAATAGAATCTTGACACATGCGGCTGGATTGGACAGTTTGCTAGTCAAGGGGGATGGCATTCAGGCTCGGACTATAAATGGAATCTTAAGGGTCAGGGCTTCATCAATTTTTTTTTTTTTTAACTCCTCTTGCCTCCCCCCCGCCCCACCTCCATATATAAAGGAGAAAGAAGTATCACAAAGCCAGCTTCAGATCCTTTGGTGACAGTCAAGTAGACTGATACTTTTTCTTGGTAGAATTACAGTTCTGCTGAATTTGTAAATCTTTTTCTTGTTTTCATGCCTAAGAAACTTTACCGAAGGATTTGATTTCAACTTGGAATTTTGGCAGGGAGTATCACCAACTTTCACTCAACTCCTTTGCTCATGCTCCTCCCCCACCCTTGCCATAATTTGCAAGAAGTTGTTGGTCAGCAAAGAGGTGGTGGTGTTTAAAAATAAAAAGCTGACGTATAAGGAAAGACCATCAAATATTAAAGTGCTTTCCCTTCTAGGGAGCACAAACTCTGCCTCTCTCTCCATCCCTCCCTCTCTCTCTTTTTAATTGTAATGAACTGTATGCTAAAGAAAAATAATTCAAAACTACTTCCTATAACTTAATTTTCTCTCTATAATGAAAAAAATTAAATGGAATGGAATGACAGCAAGATTTACCTTCTTGCAAAACAGCTTTTCTAATAGTAAAATAACTGTCAAAGTAGATACTTATTCATTCTACTTCCTAAATTGCGTAAAGCCTAATTACTTATCTCCTGGAATGTTTTTTTATCCATACCAGGGAGGTAAGATATACTTTTTATCTAAGTGGGCAGAGAAATAAAGAGAGAAAAGGACTTTAATTATCAATATGGTGTGAGTTTTGATGGGCAACTTGAAAATTTTTCCTTTTCTGTCTTTGGGTTCCTCAGTTTGCAAAGCTAGATTCTCATATTAAGAAACATAAGATTAACCAATGTACCATCTTCACTTCTGTTCTTTTTAACTTGTGAGGTATTTAATTAATGAGTGTGTATATATATATGTATGTATATGCACACACATATACATATATATATACACACATACATATATAAATGTATATGTGTAAATACACACATTTATATTCTAGTTGTTGAATATTGTGTTTAAAGATATAGATTTGTTATCCATTTTCCATTTTCTTTTGGTCTGATATAAAAGCATTCCCCAATTTGGGGAAGGTCACTATTCCTCTTCATATGTTACAACTAAAAGACATTTAGACTCCCATATTAGCAATAGTTTACTTAAGTCACATCTGACCCCTAGTATCAATCTCCTTATCACCTGGGGTGGCCTGATCTACTGGATTATATATATATATTTTAAAGATTTTATTTATTTGAGAGGGAGAGAATGAGATAGAGAGCACGAGAGGGAAGAGGGTCAGAGGGAGAAGCAGACTCCCTGCTGAGCAGGGAG